AAACTTCAGACAGGAACTTTTTCTATTGAAACACTTCTGATAGGAACTTGTTTATAGAAACACTGGTGATAGGAACTTTTTCAATAGAAAAACGTCTGACAGGAACTTACTCTAGAGAAACTCTCTAGAAAAACTTCTAACAGAAAATTTTTTTATATAAAATATTCTGATAGGAACTTTTTCTATAGGAACACTTCTGATAGGAACCCTGACAGGAACTTTTTCTATAGAAAAACTTCTGACAGGAACTTTTTCTATAGAAACACTTCTGACAGGAACTTTTTCTAAAGAATATCTTTTGACATAAAATTCTTCTATAGAAACATTTTGCTGACAGGAACTTTTTCTATAGAAAAACTTCTGACGGGAACTTTTTCTATAGAAAAACTTCTGACAGGAACTATTTCTGTAGAAAAACTTCTGGCAGGAACTTACTCTAGAGAAACTCTCTAGAAAAACTTCTAACAGAAAATATTTCTATATAAAATATTCTGATAGGAACTGTTTCTATAGAAAAACTTCTTATAGGAGGGGAACTTCTCTAAAAAAACTTTTGATAAGAACTTTTTATATGGAAAAACTTTATAAACGAAATTTTTCTATAGAAAAATTTTTGACAGGAAATATTTCTGTAGAAAAACTTGTGACAGGAACTTTTTTAATAGAAAAACTTCAGACAGGAACTTTTTTAATAGAAAAACTTTTGATAGGAACTTTTTCTAAAAGAAGCTTCTGATAGGAACTTTTTCTGTAGAAAAACTATTGACAGGAACTTTTTCTATTAAAAACTTTTGACTGAAACTTTTTCGATAGAAAAACGTTTGATAGGAAATTTTTCTATAGAAAAACTTCTGAGAAAATCTTTTAACAAGACTTTTTGATAGAAAAACTTCTGACAGGAACTTTTTCTGATGAAAAACTATTGACAGGAACTTTTTCTATTAAAAATAGAAAAACTTTTGAAAAAGGTCCTATTTCTATAGAATAACTTTCGACGTTGACTTTTTTATAAAAAAGCGCAAAAAATATTTTTTTAACAATTTCTTTTAAAATTTAATTTAAAAAAACCCAAAACGAATTTATTTTTGTTGTGTAATAACCAGACATTAATTTTCTATTAACAAATTTGAGACTTAATGATTACTTAAGCAAATAATATGTATTAAATATATTGTAATTTATTTTTACAATTGTTTAAAATAATAATAATCATTAAGCCTAAGTTATACAATGAAATTATAATGTAATTATTATTATTATGTATTTTGTTTAATATATTTTTGTAATAAATTAACTTGATATTTTAAAATGAGGTGTTTACAAATTTCTATTATAATTAACAATTAAAAGTTACTTAAAGTAACTAAATTAAAATTTTTTCGTCAACTGCAGTTTAAATTTGTTTTTCTCATTAAGCTAAGTTTGTGTAAACAACTTATTAATAAAAGTTATTTAAACCCAATTAAAACTAATACTAACAAAATATACTCCATCTCTCCCCTAAAGTTCAGCTTAAGTTTTTTATAAGTTTGAATGATTTATTCATTTAAAATGGTGACAGTTTTTTGTCTTTTGTCAAACAACTTCATCACTTATTCCCATCATATGGAAACAAAATACGAAGAAAAAACACAGCATACTTTTCTCATAAATCTATTAGTGTCTCTTGTTTAATTTTTTTCTATTTCTTAATATTTTCTTAATGAAGAATATTTTTCTTTAATAGTAATTTATACAAAACAAACAAACTAGTATTTAATGAAACATCTCAGTAGCATTTTTGATGTTTTAAACACTATTTTCGTAATCTTTTCTTATTTTTTTTTGCAATAATTCTGTAGTTTACGTCAAAATTTATAATTAATAGCGCTACTTGTTTGTCATTTTTTTTCTGCAAAATTTAAATAATTAAGCAATTAAAGAAACAGACTAGACTAGACAAGAAAAGGTACTAAAAATATTTTAAAAGAAAAGAACAATTGATGAGACATGAAATAATAAATAATACATATTGGTCATTTGCCGCCAAAGTATCATAACTCAAATTATATGATTAAGCGTGTTAATTAAATTTTTGTTAAATACACGTTGAAGATGTTTATTGTCAGCTTGTTATTTTCCAAAACAGGTGGAGATAACATTAAAATTGTTTAAAACAATTTACTCAAAATCTGGTTATTCGATTTATGACTTTATTTTTGGAAATGCGTTATATGTTTTTTGAGATACAGTATTAATCATAATTAAGTTCATATCGATTTATTCCATAAAATAACTATAATCTTTTTAATTATTGTTTCGTGTTTTTAATAAACATAGTTTTCTGGTGACACATAGTACTGTTCATGTTAATAATTTTTTTAGTTATTGGAAATCTTTAAATCTGAATTCGAAAATAAAACAAGTTCACAACAAAATTGGAGGACCTTTAATAAATTCACTGGAACTTGGTTAATGAAAAACTTCTGACAGGAACTTTTTCTATAGACAAAATTCTGACAGGAACCTTTTCTATAGAAAACCTTCAGACAGAAACCCTTTCTATAGAACAACTTGTCACAGGAACTCTTTTTTCAGAAACTTTTTCTATAGAAAAACTTCTGACACGAACTTTTTCTAGAGAAACTCTTTTGTCAAGAACTTTTTCTAGAGATAAACTTCTGACAGGAACTTTTTCTAGAGATAATCTTCTGACAGGAACTTTTTCTATAGAAAAACTTCTGACAGGAACTTTTTCTATAGAAAAACTTCTGACAGGAACTTTTTCTATAGAAAAACTTCTGACAGGAACATTTTCTATGGAAAAACTTTTGATAGGAACTTTTTCTACAGAAAAGCTTTTGACAGGAACTTTTTCTATAGAAAAACTTCAGACAGAAACCCTTTCTATAGAAAAACTTGTCACAGGAACTCTTTCCTTCAGAAAATAACATTCTTCTATAGAAAAACTTCTGATACGAACTTTTTCTATAGAAAAACTTTTGACGGGAACTTTTTCTAAAGAAACTCTTCTGACAGGAACTTTTCCTATAAAAAAACTTCTAAAAGAAACTTTTTCTATAGAAAAACTTCTGACAGGAACTTTTTCTATTGAAAAACTTCTGACAGGAATTGACAGGAATTTTTCTACAGAAAAACTTTTAAAATGAACTTTTTTAACAAAAATTTTCTATAAAAAAAACTTTAGACAGAAACTTTTTTCATAGAAAAACTCCTAACAGGTACTTTTTCTATAGAAAAACTTGCGACAGAAACTTTTTTCATAGAAAAACTTGTGGCAGGAACTTTTTTTATAGAAAAATTTCTGACAGCAACACTTCTGACGGCAACTTTTTTGAGAAAAACTTCTGAGAGAAACTTTTCCGACCGGAACATTTTCTGTACAAAGACTCTTGATATTAACCTCTGCTATAGAAAAATTCGGACAGAAACTTTTTTCACAATAACGGTCTGGTCTGTCTAATATATGGGTAATTTCATGTCAAGTGACACAATTAAAAAAATCGATTTTGATGAAATTTGCTTCAAGGTTAGTACTATTGGATAGTAGGACCAATAGGTGAAAAGTTACAGTCATTTGAATAAGACCCTGTATGACCATAATATCCAACTTTGAGCCCCTCTAACTCCGGCAGTTCTTGACCGATAGAACTGAAAATTTGTGTCTGGCCTAACATCCAATAGTACTAACATTGGTGCATCCAAATCGGAAGACATCGATTTTAAAAGTTGGGTCACTTGACACGAAACTACCCATATTTACATATGTATTTTGCAGTACCTTAACGGCTTCAAGGTCATTTGTCATGTTTTTCATTGCATATACAGATGTACATACATATGTATGTATGTTTTTCGATACTAAATAGAGTTTGCTTTTTATATCTTTCCATTTTTAATAAAATTGAAATTTTAAAAAACAACCTAAATCACTTTAATTTGTTTGTTTTTAAAACATTTTTACAAGGTGTTAGTAAATATTTACTCTGACAATATAATTCTTAACTAATTAAGTATTCAAATTCAGGAAATTAGAATAAATTCTTAGAAAAATGTCAAATAAAATTTGTGGTAAAACAAACTTTCAAATATTTAACTTAATAAACTTAAATGTTTAAAAAAATAAAAATACACAAATAAACTTAACAATTGGAAAACAACTTTTAACAATTTGTTAACTTTTAAATTTGTAATTTCCGTTTCATGATATTGACTATTGTTCTATGCAAATAAACTAACAAAAAAAACTAACGAATTTAAAAAGTTAACCAAAATTCTCGTTAATATGTACAAGGTACTACAACCTATAAAAACTGCACCTGTCTAAAGACTGTCACAGCTAATTTGTGTTTAATTGCAGTTTGTTTTTGTTAAAAAGATTATTTTTATTTTTTTTAGATTTTATTTTTGCAAAACAAACTTAATTGTTAGTTTTTTTCTGTGTTAGAACTTTTTTGTTATGATGAGAAGAATTAGTGACAAAAAAAACCAATTTTATATTTTATAGAAAATCTTAAAATGTTAAACAAACAATTGTTGTTGTTGTACACTAGTATGTTCTATCTGATATGAAAATTTAAAAAAAATAAATAATTATAAATATCATTATTGTAAATTTAGTAAAAAGTTTTTGCTTCCTATTTTAATTCATTAAAAGAAATAAATACATTCTAACTTTTTTTCGCTCATTATTTAAAGGTGACAAATTCAAAAGATTGACAGACAGTGATTTAGATTGTTTGGAAAAAATTAAAAAAAACACACATATTTTATAGATACTTTTTATTTAGTCAAATTGTACACTGTTCTTATTCTATTTCTTGTGTTTGTGTTTATATTTATTATTTGTCAAACAAACGCTATGTGCCCGGGTAGCTCAGTCGGTAGAGCATTGGACTTTTAATCCAAGGGTCCAGGGTTCAAGTCCCTGCTCGGGCGAGTTTAATTTTTTTTTCTATTTTTTAATTTTATTCAATTTATGTTTTTTCTTTTTTTTACAGTTTTACAACTCCTTTTCCCCTTCTACAGGCCTCATTTACACACTATGGTAAATCATAATTGGTTTTTGGCCACTGTGCTACTGTGGCTGCTGCTTTGTTATCACAACTTGTGTATAAATGCTCAGGTGGGTCAATATTTTATAAAACAATAAAAAAAATTTAAAAAAATATGTATATTATTATAATTAATAATGATGTGAAAATGAATAATTTGTTATGTAAATTTTCAACAAGAAAAAACAAGCACAAAAACAAACAAAAATGCAAAAAAAGAAATTATTTATAAAGGAATTTTAATGAATATTATTATTAAAACAAACGCTTAAATAACAAATCATCTATGTACGTAGTTAAATATGTTTCTTTTTTACTTTCCGTTTGTTTAATAATTAATGTTAATTACCAACATCTTAATAAATTTATCATAATATTTTATTATGATCACTAGTTATTAATCAAAGACACATTTTCTGTATTGACATGTCAATATTTCCGTCAGTAAATGTAAAATTTTTTTTCTTTATAAAGTTATTGTCCTAAAGTATACTTTACAAATCTGAATTAATTAGGAAACAAAATATCAATGTAATAAAGAACAAAACGAAAGTGTTGATTGGTGTAAATAATTCAGAAATATAATATTAATTATATGCTCTTTAATTAAAAAGTGTTGTGTTTTTTTTTTGTTATAATAAATGTTAATAATATATCAACTACTAATCCGATTAAGAGAACAAAGTATAAAAATAAAACAATATTAAAACTTTATGTTAAGTTAAGCAAAAGAAGTAATCTCCATATTACCATAAAATAACATATTAGTGTCGTAGTGAACTAATTCATGTGATCCATCACAGCACCAATATTAAATTCGCTTTTATCGAATAAACATCTTTAGCATATTCTGCCGAATTCAGCAGAATAAAAATAAATATTTTTGTTATACTCCTTATTAGTATTAAACCTTTGACATCCATGCAGGCAATGGGCAATATGGGGCGTGGCATTTCCCATATGAAGTAAATACAAAAATTACTATATCTGAGAATCTAGTATTTGCTCTAGAATTTTCAAATTTTGCACAAACAAAAATGTGATCATTTGGAAAAAAATGGAAGGTGCTGGAATCCTTAAATTTCACATCTATGTGGATATTTGTAAAAAATGGGTGGACTTTAAATAGGGGCATGGCATCTCCCATATGAAGTAAATACAAAAATTCCAATATTTGAGAATCTATTTGCGCTAGAATTCTCAAAATTTGCACAAAGTTCTTAAATTTTAAAAATCCTTTAGAACTGGAATCCTGCTAATATTTTTACAAAACGGACGGACTTTAAATAGGGACGTGACATCCCCCATATGAAGTAAATACAAAGAATCCCATGTCTTGAAATCTATAAGAGGTTTTATATTTATATCGTTTTCAGATGAGCAAAGCCCACTGGATATAACTAGTAATTAAATGAGGGGTATTTTGCGTTTGTGCTGATGTTTGTAACACCCAAAAATATTGGTAATACACCTTAAAGTATACTAATCGGCTCATAATCACTTTCTGAATCGATTTAGCTATGTCCGTCTTTCCTTCTTTCCGTCTGTCTGTCCGTCTGTGTGTCCATGTAAACCTTGTGCACACTTTACAGGTCGCAATTTTAAAGATGTTTTTAGTGAAATTTGCGACATGGTTAAAATCGGTCCATTATTTCGTATAGCACCCATACAACCCTACTTCCGAATAGGGGGGCTTTTGAGCAAAAACTTAGGCAAAACTTAGTTTTATATAAGTCTTAATGATACTGCTGATTCATAATGATCGGACCTCATTTGACCCTATCCCCTTCAGAAAATTACTTGATGGTCAAAATTTACTTATAAACACTAATATCACGATGTCCTTGCCTCAAAAGAAGAGCATGTTTCATTAAATTATTTTGAAAATTGCGACCATAGACACACAGACGGGCGGACCGACCGATTGGTATACTTTAAGGTGGGTGTAGGATCAATATTCTTAGGTTTTACAAACATCAGTACAAACACATAATACCCACTATAGTGATGTTGGGTATACAAATAAAAAAGTTAAACTTAATTCAAAAGAAATAATAAATTCTATAAAAAACTTTCATAGCAAATGGAATTTTGATGCCCTAAAGGGAAGGTGGTTAGCCCTGAAGTAACGTGATAAATTATATTTAATCAAACTAATGACACAATTCACCTTTTCACCTACTATTTAGCATATAAGTAATTACTTTTCTGTTTAAAATAACAAATCCCTATATTTTATAAGTTAACTAAATAATAAAAATCAATTAATAAAAAAATTCCAAACTACAAAAGCAAAACGTGTACACGTTATAATTAAATCACGTTTTATTTTCACTCAATTTCAACTACAAAATCATTTAATTACAGCTTTCTATAAGATCACTGCATGATTAAGTGCATGTTTTTTTTAAGATAAAATATTTAGAAATTTTTATCAATTAATCATATGGTTGGTATAAATTATTTAAATAGATTTTTCTATATACATACATTGCATTTTTATATTAATTCAATTTACATTGTATTCTTATCAAGAGATTTCAATTTCCTAGTTTTTTTTTTCTTAATGACAATATATTTAGACAAAGCCTTTGATAGTTATTGGAAAAACATCTATATATTATTATTTGTCGTACTCTATTGTTTAAATTTATTTTGTTAAACAACTTAAATCTAAAGTATGTTTTTCGTTATGTTTAATAATTTATTTGTTTGTTTTACGTGCAAAATTAGATTTGAATCTCGTTCACGTTTTATTTATTGTAGTTTTAGGTTTCAAACGTTTTTAATGATTCCAGGAATTAAAATTGACAATTGTTGGGAGAAAATAAAGAAATTATTAAATATATTTTTTAAAGATTTTGATCTGTCACAAGGCTAAAGAGAAATTCATTAAAAATATAATTTGTTCAAAACTAATTAGAATCTTATTCAAAAATTGAATTTAGAACGGACTTTATAACATCTATATATAAAGTTATAGTAATAAAAATAAATCACAACAAACAGACAAATGTTCTTCCAACTAAACTTAAGTTCTTCATGATACGTTCACACCTAATAAATATTTGACAAAAAACATTTTTTGTCAAATATTTATTAGGTGTGAATATGATTTTTGTAATTGCAAATAATCCCTAAACAAATAATTAACTTTTGGATAACTTTTGGTGCTAACAAATAAATATTTAAAGAAAATCGAAATGTTTGTAAAATATTTGACTGGTGTAAACATAGTAAAATATTAATACAAATTTTAGAGTTATAGTTTCTATATTAATACCAATTTGGATTCATAATTAAACTTCTAAGTTTTTTTTTTTTTTTTTTTGTTCAGTTTTTCATTTTTAAATATCAAAAAAACTAAGAAAAACTATAGAAAATTAGTGTTTTAATGCCCTTAGGTTGTAAAAACATTTAATTTATTTGCAAACATGTGTAAAAAGATACAACAATTAAATGAAAATTCTACTAAAGTTTTGTTAAAATCTCAGCCTAACATTACTTAAGTGTCTATGTAGATTCACAATAGTTTTTGTTGTGTTCACTCAAGTATAAATTTCGAGAATAGATACTTTTCGCACGGCCAACTTTATAAGTTGTATGTCGAATGTCTTGAAGAAAATCTTAAAAAAAATTAAGGTGAAGGTTAAAAGAAAATCTTTTAATAAAACAAATACACCAAAACAAACTGTAAATTTATATTAACAGAAAAAAAAATCAAATTAACACCAACTCTTTGAGATATATTTTAGAAGTTTAAACATATGGGAGATTTCATGTTAAGTGGCTCAACTTTTGAAACTGATATCTTCCGATCGGAATGATCAATCTTGTTGTCTAAATTACTATTTAATAGGACTACCCTTGGTGCAAATTTCATACCGACAGGAAGACATCGGTTTTAAAAGTTGGGTCACTTGACATGAAATCCCCCTTATGTATATCAACACACGCAGAGAAAAAATATAGTTGTGGTAACCATAATATAAGAGCAACATATTATGGTTAGAATTACGGTTAAAACTAAAACATATTATGATCATTATTAGTATCATGAAATATAATATTGTGATCATTATTAGTGTAATAAGATATCATATTATGATTAAATATAGTCCGAATAGTTCATCATAATATAGATTTATTAATCATAATGTGATAATGTTGTAACATCATATTGTAATTTCAAGTAACCATAGTATGGTTTCATATAATCATATAATGGTTTCAAGTAATCATATTATTGTTTCAAGTAACCATATTATGGTTACATATTAAACATAATATGGTTAATCTAATGTGTTCGGCGTAAATTGTAATTATTTTTTAGTTTTTTGAAAGTTTAAATGGTTCCAAATAATATCATATGTTTACATAGTTATCACTATTAATATGTTGTAAAAATAATTATTTTTCAGAGAATCATTCGCAAATTTATAATTGTCATAAACATATAAATGTTTACAGTAACTAAAATATTAATGAAATTCAATAAAAATAACAATTGTTTGGTTATGGCAAGAAAATATTGTTACAAAAAAAGATAGAATAGTTGTCCTAACCATGCCGAATCATGTTTATTCTCTGCGTGCAGATCTCCCATTTAATTACTTTATTTTATTTAAATATAGCAATTGATTTGTTTGAAAAAATAGCTGGGATCGCCTTTAAATTAAATTGTAAATATAATACAATGTATGTTTTTTTTAATAAAGTTACACTTTTATTATAAAAAATGTCTGAACCGTGAAGTTGGCAGGGCGTCTATTAAAGTGTAGACCCCCAGCGTTTAAAGTGTAATTTGATTGTTTGTATTTCATTTACAATGCGCTTCTATTGTAAATGATTTTTTTTCATTATTATTACAAAACCTATTATTAAATTTGTGGCAGCTTTTATAACATAATTTGCATAAAAAAATTACTACTCTGCATGAGTTTAATTTAAGTATTTTAAAAATTGTTGTTACAAAGATAAATTATGTAAAAAATTACACATTTAAACAAGTGTATGTTTTTTAGGATTAAATATATTTTTTTTATTTTAATCCTCTTATTTATATCATATT